CCGAAGACCTTTGATCGGGTCTGGCACAAAGCACTTCTTTCGAAGCTCCCTTCCTATGGCTTAATTATTGGCTTTGGTTGGGGCATCAAGGTCGTAGTAGACGTTCCACGCTCTGATTACAAGCCTATAAACGCTGGTGTTCCACAAGGTTGCGTGCTATCAACAACGCTGTTTCTTCTGCATATCAATGATATGTTGTAAACCCGTAACATTCATTGCTATGAAGAAGACAGCACGAGTGATGCCTTATACACCGGCCGTGCTAATATTTCTCGGGAAAATTTCACCGAGTATCGAGACAAGCTTGTGTCTGAAGTCGAGTATTTCCTGAACATAGTCTTGAATTGGGGGTGACTAAATCTAGTCCATTTCAATCCTCAGAAGACACAAGTTGGCACGTTTACCGCTAAAAAGAACCGCTTTGTAGTATCTCCTCCATTTCAAGGCACTTCCCTTGCTACCTCAGCTAGCATCGGAATCCTCAGCGTTGATATATCGCATAGTGTGCAGTTCCATGGTCACTTGGAGGGGAAGGCCAAATTAGCCTCTAAAAAGCTTCGCGTGCCCAGCAGAGCACGTTAAGCTTTTTAATATTTCATGCCGGCACATTGCTTGCAACTTTAAAAAGGGTAAGTTCAGCCTCAAATGGAATACTGTCTCACTCATCTCTGGGCCGGGGCATCCCAGTGCTAGTTCCTACCACTTTACCGCATCCAGCACAGAGCGATTCGAATCGTCGACGACCGAGTCCTTTCTGATCGGCTCGATTCACTGGCGCTGCATCGGGATGTTGCATTCCTTTGCATTTTCTACCGTATCTACCATGGAGAGTGCTCTAAAGAATTGTTCGGATTAATCTCGCAAAATTTCATGAACGTACATCGCGTCAAAATTCAAGATACCGTTCACGCCATCTGGACGCTCGGCGGTCCACTACTGTGCATTTTTCTAGAAGTTTTCTTCCTCGTACAGCTTCTCTGTGGAATTGTTGAGCAAAGGCGATTTTGCCGGACTGATACGACTTAGAGACCTTCAGGAAAGAGCTTTCTTCTTTTTTGAAATTGGAGTACAGAGCTGTCATAAAATTCCTCACAAAGAAGAACAAGAAGCTGACGGAAATATTTGAAGATATGTCGACTGTGTACGGGGAGTATAGACATTCACACCGTAAAACGTTAGAGCCAAGAATTCTAGCATGGCAAGGAATCGCTAGAACATGACTCCAGGTCAGGACAGCCAAACACGGCATTGTTTAGTGTTTTAAGGAAGAAAATATTGCAAAAATAAAATAACTTGTTCTATAAGATCGGCGAATCAAGTTGTGGCAGATAGCTGAAGCTATAGGCATTAGCAAGACGAATATATATTAAATATTTTGTATACTCGTTTGTACCTGCGATATAAAAATGCCGATAGAAAATTATGCGCACACCGCATTATTTTCTATCAGCATTTTTAAAAATTTTCAGCCTCGCCTCGTAATATTATCTAAAAATCCCCTACATCTTAATATGATCTAAACGTTCGACACAATTACTTATCCTTTATCCTAAACTTTGATTTGGATCAAAAATCAAAGAACAAGAAAACAAATATAAAAAATAAAAAAAGAGACTATAAACCTACAAGATAGAAGAAATACGTGTGTGCTCAAAATACGCCACAGTCAATAGATACATGCAGTCACAAATATGTATTTTTTTAATTTTATCAAATATAATAAAACAATTTAACAAAAAACAAATGCCAAGATTCAGCTACGCTTCTTCTAAAATATTAAATCTCACATTAGAAACAATTAAATAGTCTTAATTAATTCTAATGTATTAATATTAAATGTCCCCTCGATACGTATACGGTGGTAGGACTACGTTTGCGAGAGTCCTTCTGAGTACGTACTTAACCGTTTCTGTCGCCAGCAGCAGGGCTTGCTCTGTTGTAGTCTGAGTCGACACAAGCTGTGGAGCATTCCATCTCAGTTCTCATGGGTGAAGGTGAAGCATATATAACCTTCTTTGTTTGAAGTTGGTTGCAGGTGCGCTACAGTAGCCACTCACTATCAGGTTGACTGTAACTCGCTGATTAATTATATTCGAGAAATAAAAAAATAATAAACATATCAATGGTAACAATAAGTACAAACATAAATGGACTAAAACAGAAATTACTGAAATACTGCAAAATGAATATCCTAAGTGCTTATATTATTAAAATTCCAACAAATAATAATACTCAGTCTTAACAAATGTGAAAAATATAAACAATGGACTGGCCTACTCTGTACAATATTAAAAATGTTAAATTATGAGTATTATAATTATGAGTGAGAGCAAAACGCGTGCGACATTGTTCCTGTAAAACATTTGGCACATAACTTTAACATCAACAAAACAAAAGGTAAATAACGCTTAACTTTTCATAGAAATTGATCTATGAAAAGGTAAATAACCAACCAAACCAAAATAAGAAGGGAACATTCAAAGAGTTCCCTTCTTATTTTGGGTTTAGTTAAATTAACTTGTTCAACATAAGCTTTCTTATTTTATTCTTTTTTCGAGACGCTTTCATTTTTCTACCTCTTCTTTTTCGTTGACTTTCTTCTCCTTTTTTTAACTCTTTGCCTTAACTATACCCTTTTTCATATTCTTCTAGGTCTAATTTATATACATATACTAAGTATGTCCATGTTGACGAAACCATGGTGGACGATCATGGTTTTGTATCACAAAAAAATTATAATAAAATTTATTACATAATTTTAATTAAACATTATTTTAAAGAATAAGGAATATTTGAAACTTAATTATATGTAAACATCATGTTTTATTTATATTTCAATATCTTCTACATACATACAAATTGTTGTTACGTTATACATCTTGATTTTCGTAGAAATGAAACAGCTAGAGACTTGCAAAAGAATCTATGAACTGTTCCTACTACGTAGATTATGTACGCTAAGTTTTATCGAAATCATACAATCACTTTCGGCGACTACAATGAAAATTGAATCGAAGTCAGGGACAAGATGGTTCCGCTACGCTCTTCCCAAACTAGGTAAATATCCATGTTGCGGACAAAAGTAGGGCTGAGATATTTTATTATCGATCGTACGATAAAAACGATATTTCGATTATATCGCACGAGGAACAAGATCGTGCAATGGCTTCAACAGGTGTCCTAATATCTCGCGCGTAGCCCATCGCGCAGTGACGCGATGCCGCCGCGCCGTCACCACAACGACGCCATTTCAACAATGGCTGTTCACTGAGATGAACAGTCTTTTTACTTTCTTAGTAGACATGTGTAGATCACTCATTTCTAGCGAACGGATCATTCTAGTACATTTCGTCACGCGTACCGGTACATTCGGATCGATCATTCAAATGGATCCTTTCTGGCTCCAGTACCATCCAGTAGTCCAGTACTCTGTGTCTGTAAGATCCATTGGGAACAAATGGGAAAAAAAATTTATGACTTTGTAATGCTATCATCGCCATCTACTGCATGTTATAGGTAATAAAGCATTTTATCGAACAAAAATTTATGGATTTTCAAGGTGGTAAGTCCAAAAGATGCTAGATGGCATAAACACAAAAATTTCAATTGATTTGATTTAATTGATAACTTTATTTATTATTGTTATTATTATATATTTTATTAATTTAATAAATTTGTTTATTTTTAAATTTCATTCATAACTATACTTAATTTCATCGATTCTTATAAATTTACTTTGCATTTAGGCCATCTAGCATCTATTGAGCGTACCACCTTAAGTCTCATCCATTTTGGTTTGATTTCGATAAAATGAGAATTGACTTTAACTATAGATCGAATAAGATGGCGCTATTTATTTCAAAGCAAAGCATTGAAAACAGCAATTTTAGTAAAAAGAAGATATTGTTTTCATCTAATATTATAAAATTTAGGCTTCACATGTCTAAAAATAAGGATTGTAATGTTTATTTGCTACAAAGTACTTAATATGATGATTTTCTTATAAGATAAAAGTTTATCTTATAAGAAAATCATCATATTAAATAAATAATTTGCCTTGAAATCTTATGAAGTGTTATTTTTAGTAAACCCCACGAAACTAAGGTGTTTTTAAAGTCCTTTTTTTATACGCCTTTACCACGAAATGATATTTTTAACTCATAGATGCAACAATCAAATATAATAAACAATTAAATGTAAAATATTTTTTTATTTTACTTATATAATAATAAAAACCCTTATACAATAAATACTCTTGATACCACCTAATACTCAGCTATAGGTAATCAGCTCAGCAGTCTGCGTTGAGCAGTGTGCATAGAGGAAAGTAATATATCGTACATAGAGAACCCACTCGTGGAATTTATTGAAAACCGCAAATCGTCCGTGAACTTCTGATACCTCCTAACTCGCATTTTTTCGCAAAACCTTTTTTAACGCCATCGTTTGACAGAGATCAGAACCAATAGAATGCATTAACCTCCTAAATAAAATACTTGTTTTTTTGGTCACAATCCGTTCGGAGAAATACCTTCTAAATTTTGCCGCCTTATTTTTGCTGGAAATTTCTCCTAACTAACAGTTTGCTCGAAGCGCGTACAGCGTACACGGCTATTTAGTATTATTGCGTTTGGCATTTAAAAGTATTTTTTTGGTATTTTTATCACTTCGTTGGTATTTACATTAGTGTTATAGCTAACTGAAGGTATTTCACTGATTTTGTTTCATAAAGTAGGTACGTATATTATTATTAGCTATGATTTATTTCAGGTTAAAGTTTTTTTGTCAGGAGTAATTTCTTTGAACACTTTTTACTTCAATTTGGTAAGTTATGTTTTCAATTAATGCAGTTAGAAGAAATTTCTTAAAAGTTTAGTACTTACTTACTTTTACCTTCTTAAATATCTACGATCTTTTAACCTGTCTGAGGAGTACGATCATAAATTATTTGGTATTTTGTGTAGTTAAAAGATAACTTATTTATTTCAGATTTTGTCATAATGGCATCAAGAAACAGAGCACATGCACTCGTTAACATAATTTGCAATCCAACTGAACCAGAGAATATGGCATCCATGTCTCATACACCTGTTTCTGTTTTGGTAAAGAATGTCCTAACAGAACCACATTCTTTTGAAAGGATTGAATCTCAGTTAGGGGAAATTTTACTAACTGCAGACAATGACCTCATTCAATTAGAAGACCTAGTGGCGCTTGACTCACCGTCGCTATTAGAAACACCGTCTCCGAGGCCAACTTCACCACCACCTGTGAGAGATGCTTGTGAGGACTTTTCGCCTGATGACGACAGCGATTACGAACCACCCAATGATCGTGGTGCTTTAAGTTCAGATTCAGAAAATATCCCTCCAAATGAAGAGACTCTGCAAACGAACGAAGAGGTAGTTCACTTTGGAGATATGTTTGAAGGCCGACGTAGACAGAGACTAGCTCAACCCGAAAGTTGGAAGAAAAGTATTACTAAACGGTTAAGGATGGAGGGGAAAGAGTATGTCGGTTACAAAAGACCAAAGGGTGAGAAAGTACAAAGCCAAATTCGAAACCAAAGGATCCTTGGCCCTAAATGCAATTCAGATTTTTGTAGAAATAGTAAGTTGAGATGTTGTGATGAAGTAGGGGATGAGGACAGAGAGAAGATATTTCGACAATTCTGGAGCAATATGGACTGGCATCAACGAAAAGTGTATGTAACTAACAACATAACTTTTCAGGAAAAAGGTAGGCAGACATCAATAAATTCGAGAAGAGCTGGTACTTTCGTTTATTTTCTTCCAGTGACTAATTATGTAGATGGAACCACAACTAAGAAGCGTGTGTGCATGTTTATTCAAACTTTGTGTATTGAAACATTTTCAGTTCAAAATTGGGCAAAAAAAAGGACTAAGTGGCATGCATCTATCTGAAAAAAATAATAATCGTAACCGTCGTCCTAAAGCGCAATTGTCTCAAAGACTTGACATTCTCGATAACTTTTTCAATGTATTACCTAAAATGCCGTCGCATTACAACCGTCATAACACTACCAAAGTCTACTTGGAACCAATTTATCGCAACGCCACTCACTTATACAATACTTATAAACAATACTGCTCAGAAAAAAATGCAGATCCTTACGCTAGAAATAAATTCAATCAAACTATCAAATCGAAGAATATAGCTATCCACACAATAAAGAAGGACATGTGTGATGTTTGTGTAGGTCATCAGAGCGGTAATGTAAGCGAAATTGACTACCAAACACATCTAAGAAGAAAAAATCGAGCCCGTGAAGAAAAATCTATGGATAAAAGTGAGGCGATCAAGTGAAACTGCATAGTTTTAACAATGGATTTACAATCGGTTAAAATGTGTCCGTTTATCACAGCTAGTGCTGTTTACTATAAAACAAAATTATGTGTACATAATTTTACCATCTATGATTTAGCATCTCATGAGTGTACATGTTACTGGTTTACAGAAACGGAAGGTGATCTATCAGCGTCTACCTATGCGTCATTTATTATTGATTACTTGACCCGCCATAGCCTTCCCAAACATCTACCCATAATAATATACTCAGATGGCTGCACAAGCCAGAACCGAAACAATATATTATCGAATGCTTTATTAAATTTCTCCATGCAACATCAAGTGGCTATAATACAAAAATATCTTGAAGTCGGACACACGCAGATGGAAGGAGATTGTGTACATAGCGCTATAGAAAGGAAATTGAAAAATAGGCTAATCCACTTACCAAGTGATTACCTGTCGGTTACCAAAGAAGCTCGCAAAAATCCTTGTGAGTACGAAACTGTAATGGTAGACTATACATTTTTCAAAAACTATTCGGCTCCTGAAACATGGCGCTACACTTCGATCCGACCGGGACGCAAAGCTGGAGATCCAAAAGTTACTGATATAAGGGCTATTTTTTATGACAATACAGGCCTGATTAAGTTTAAATTGGACTTTGACTCCGATTGGGATAGCCTCCCTCAAAGGGTTAATAAAATTGCTATCATAAGAGAGTACGCATCCCTGCATAGGAATAGAATACCTATCACATACCAAAAATATAAACATTTACAGGAGCTAAAGTCTGTTATCCCATTGGACTGTCATTCCTTTTACGACAGTTTACCTCATAATGAACATTAACATTCCTAATGTTACCTTAGTATTAGAAATATGATTTAACATGCTGGATAAATGATGCGAATTACTTGCTAAGATTATTTTAAGTTTTATAAAAACCTCAAAGATTTGAAATAATTTTAAGAATGTTAATTAATTTTTAAAGCAACCTTTTCCAAGACTGTTTAAGTTTAAGTTTTGTTTCTCATATTTTTATTAATGTCTGATTGTGATTTTGTAACATTTCCCTTTAGCAACATAAATAAATATTATATTTCTGTATTTTATTGTTCTTCCTTAGTTCAAAATTTAAGTTAGATGCACACTTTGGGGGTTGATTTCTCCTAAGTAACTAAAGGAAATATCTCCTATCTGACTTTGGTATTGAATTCGAAAACTTAAAACTCCTAACATAAAACAAAAAAAAAACAACAGCACTAACTTTATTTAATTATAATTAATAAAATGACATAAAAACCGACCAACTACTTTTTTTGTTTTATAAAAAAACATCGTGAAAAGGAAATAAATCAGTTTTATGGCCCTACTGTAAAATTTGTTTGTAGGTAGATAGGAGATCTCAAAAAGTTCACGGACGAAATGTCAATTGATGTGATAAATAGCGCCATCTATTATCGCCATCCATAAACTTAACATCTATAGCTATAGCTGGCTATAGGTACTATATAGGCAGTAGTAGCTTTTCCTTCATCCTTACTTATTTACTTGTATTCAAGTTGATAAAGTTTTACTTGATTTTATTTAACAAAATCTTAGTAAAACTTTATCAAATTAAAAACAAGCCAATTAGTAAGGACGCATCAATTTCAAAAGGTTATTGGATAAACAAAAAAAAAACAACTTTTATTTTACAATATTATTTATTTATTTACCTTGTGTTTATTATTATAAGCTTGGGCTGCTGCTTTAGTTTCATCCTCACCATGGTATTTGATTTTACCAGACAAAATCCGGTTTATTGAACGGCACCAACTATATATAAGCACATGAATAATTGTGTTTTCAAAATAACACAACTAAATGGAAATTTTTCACAACTAAATGGAAAGTCAACAAATATGTCGGTAAACATTTTTATTTTACTTTTTAAACCCATTTTTGGAACATCTTTTTTTTAGTATGTCTGTCACTAAATTTTGAATTTGGACAAAACATTTTTCCATTCCTTCAGATGGGTATATTAAAGAATGTTTACCTTTTTTATATTCTTTTGCCCGTATATAATCATTGGATTTGCTTTCAGGTCTGCCATACATATCTTTTTTTACATACTTTGCAGCTTTTTGAAACATTTTTTATGCATTTCCCAAGGACCCAACCACACACATAATTGCCCTGACCAGCATCATTTATACTGGTATTTAAATTGATGAAAGGCACTACAATTTCGTCTTCTATGCTTTCAGAAAATTGTAGTGTTTCCTCATAAATGGGACTAGGAATATCAGAAGTTGACGTGATATTTTCTCTTACAAAAAAATCTAGATTCTGCAAGCAGCTATCGTCGTCTTTTTCGCAGTTTGCATGCAGAGAATGGGGCGAGTTAAAATTATTAATTAAAAGGGACTTAAAGGCCCCTTCAAACGCAACCGTGTCTGGTGCAGTATTTCTCGCCCCATAACTTCTGATATTCCCAAAGAAATTCTCTAGTGGGTCCTGGTTGAAATTACGTGTTAGCATAGCATCAAATGAATATGTTTGGGACAGCAATATCCATAATTGTTGCATTCCATAATTGATCATGGTGTGGACTAGATCGTCTAACACATCCTTTATATATTTTGCCATCAGGCACATGAAATGTGTTAGAATTTAAAGAATCAAAAAGATTGTCTATTAATTTTGTAAATTTTACCACATTTTGGCATTCTACCGGAATGTCTCCTCTTGCCACCAGATGTCCTGCAGTCGCAGCTACCGTGTGACTGAAAATTTGGGCTGCTGTTTTCACTTTCATTTTTCTAATTTTATCGACATAGATGTGCTCATCTGTGACTTTTAGTAGGCACCTCACCTCTCCATACGACTTATCAGCTTCATAAGTTTGCTTATAGTAATCCCATTTGATGATTTTTTCGCACTTTTCTTCAAAATCATAGTATTTTAAATCTTTCGTGAGTAAATTGTTTCGGACTCCTTTTAGTAAATGTGGAACATCAAATAGAGGGATTACTTTTGTTTTTCCTATTTCAATGATTTCATACCTAAATTCCTTTTCTTCTCTTAAATATTTTTTTCTTGTATCTTCTACCAAGTCATTTATTACACTTACATTAACTGTACTTTGATCACAGACAGTACATATGACCTTTAACCCAGTACTATATACATACTTAATAACTTTTTGTAACATTTCTTTTAATTGAGGTTTATTCACTGAGTTGGTGAAATAATACGCAATGGGTTGCTTAAATTTCTTTTTTAACCCCTTCACCATGAAGACCAATACATGGTCAGCAATTTTTTTGCCATCAAATGTGAACCCTCTAAGCTGGTCTTTAGCAGCGTTATAATGGATTTGAGGGGATATTGACATTTCATCGAAAATTAAGCTGCATAAGCGGTCTTCTGTACATAGCTCCTTGACGGTATTTTTAATTTTCATAAATATGCATTTATTAAGGCCCGGCTTCACTTCTATTTTGGTCAAAAGTCTTTTTAATGATTTAGTTGAAGGCAATGTGAAATATTTTGCCAAAAGAGGGTAGCTTCTTGGACTCTTTTTATATAAAGAAAGCGAGAGCTCTTTTTCTTCGAGAGAGATTCTGCGACCATGAGGCCTCTTGCTTGTCTGGGTGTACTGCATTTTTGTGAAAATTTTTGCTGCTACGGTCATTTTGTTCGTCAGTTTTTTAAATAAAATATCTGTAGACATTTTTTCAGCATTGGCTATTCTGGATTGAAAGGTTTTGTTTTTCTTTTGTGATCTGATCAAGTTTGATTGCAAAACTTTAATTTTTCTTCTTGTTGTTTTAAGCTGGTTCAACCAGAATGACGGCCACTCCTGCTGCTGATAATTATCTGTAAAAAATTTGATTTGCATAATTTTTGGATATGTGAATGAATATGTGAACCCATTTTTTTAATAGGATAGGGAGACAAACGAGCACACAGTCCACCTGATGGTAAATGGTTGTTGTGGCCAAGAGACATCTACATCTATCCTCAACTACGAATCAAAATGCAGACGCATTGTTAGCTGTGAGGACTAAGATGTAATGTCTCATTACCAGTAAATAGGGTATCCGGTTCTCAACGCTCACCACACAAAACACAGCAGCAGTCAGTTACTATTTTACGCTGGTATTCTGTGAGAGTATGGTCCTTCCCCAGTCGAGCTGAGCCATTCATGCTACAACTATACTCTAATATAACTGCAACATGACTCTACTACGTAAAGTAAATTTTTTGGCAATGGAAACAATAGACAATATTGTTGCCTTCCGAAGGAGCCTATTTTTATCTCAGAAAGACTAAAAGTTTGAGAGATATGATATTTTTGTACACACGTAGATAATATGTCAAGAAAAAACAATAGGGCTGTCACATAGAGGGGAAGAGGATTAGAACTGTGTGTAGTGTATGTGTGTATTAAAAATGTTGTAATATACGTATTAAGTAATAAGACAAAAGAAGTCGCATAGACGCGTGACCTTGTCGCTGCTATGATGTGTTGACGAACATCATTCACCATTTTGTGATTAAGTTGCGCGGGGAACGTCGTCCGTGAATTTATGTTACTATAAATTTATAATGGTGAACTGCAGCATAATCAGTTGTAAAAACTCATCAAGGATGTGTAATTCAACTAATAAAGGCATAACATTTCATCAGTAAGTTGATAGTTTACTAATTTTCATTGTTTTAACTAATTTAGATCTAGACGAATACTTTACTATGATATTTACCTTTGTAAACTCTCACATTAGTACATACTTATTAGTTTTCGTATTGTACAATTAACATTGCTGCTTTTTTTTGCATTGACAAACTCACCAAGCAATGTAATGTGAAACATTAGATATCATTGTGCATTGTGCGTATGTTTATAATACGGTAAGATGTGGCGACATCGGTTATGGAAGTAATCGAGCGCTAATTCATTTCTATTGTCTTATTATTACTATTTCTGTGCACTGTATGTATTTATTTATATGTCATTAGCTTTT